TTTCCAACGCCCACAGAAGGCCCTGGTTCTAACTGCATTTAAAACATTCCATTAGGAGGAACTTGAGTACATAAAAGGACAGCTTTCCTGCAGAGGTACAAAAACTACCTCTTAATGGAGTTGAAAATTTACACGGCTTTAACTTAGCCCACTTAGTGGTAAAGGAGAGCAAAAGGCTGCTAATGTGTAGGTCATTAATGGGCCAGGTTCTGGTCCCTTCAAGTTAGTCTCCCAGGAGATTGGCTTGCGAACTCCAGAGGTCTTGCTAGCCACTAGGATTTCAACTCTAATAAAAAACACCTATCTTACCTTTCCAGACACTCGGCCCCAAAGCCCTGACCCAGTGGAGAATCCTGGATTACCATTTCACAAACAGACTTGGGCTGAGAATTTCTAGTGTGTATATATCCCTAGGCACAGCCTCCTTTGCAATACGAAGAAGAAAGCAACTGTTCCTTTGTTAGATTTATGTTCAGGAGTAAGCGTGTCTCAGTAAGAGCAGAAGGTCAAACAAGCAGGAGGCCTTGTTGATGCCCTTCATACGTAAAGACACAAATGGCTGTAAGCAAAGCACCGATCTCCTCATGTGCCCTTATGTTCCTCTTAGGAAGCCAATTACTTTCAACATTTCTATAGCAACAGCAGCTAAGACGTGCCCCATTGTGTGCTACAGCTTCTCTCTCACAGCAGAACGCTATGGTCACTCCTCAGCTCTATCCCGTATACATCCAACAGTTCCATGACACAAAAAAGTAACACACCTGCTCATTCCTTATCTATGACATTAAGGAATTAATATCTAACTTTATAAAAGAGAGCACTATGGTACTTCGAAGGCAAATGATGTACCCAATGCTATAATCCGAGAGCTCAGACCAAGATAGATAGATTCTATTTAAATCGTTTTTTACTTCCCAGTAAAGTTTTAGTGCTCTGAATTTTAAACTGTTTATTTATTCAAAACTACAAGAATAACCAAAACTAATCATTTACAAGATCTATTGACTTTACTATCAACAATACAAGCATCAATTAAAATAACTAGGACATGGTGTACTTATCACATTGACTCTAACGAATAAATCTATCTAACAGGAAATAGCACATAGTTTAATATATGAACTCATTGTTTGTAATGGTCTTGTCAACCAGAAACAGTTTTCTAAAGAAACACTTCGAGGTGCTAGGGGTGGTGGCATATCCCAGCACCTACAAAGCTGAGGCAGTACAGCTCTGTGTCCTAAGTTCTGGGTCAAAACCCAGAACTCAAGGAAGGCAAAGCCAATGCCTTCAGTACTACATCACATTTGAGTTGATCATCTAAATTAAAAACATATGCTAATTAATTTGAATGATATAAATATTACACTCAATGTTCTCTAAGCATATTGCAATGACAAAAGACTGGGAAATGTATTTTACATGAAAATATAATTCATAAACATAATGTAAACCTAAACAGGTTAGATGCTAAAAGTGAAGATTACCACCAAGGCTCATTGTACACATATTCATACTGGGTTAATACATAGAAAACAAGTGAAATACATGTGAAGAGTGCTACAATACCACACCGAATCAAATCCGTCCAGCCACAGATGCTGGTGCACAGAGTTAAGAATCCAAGAGACCTTAGGAGTCTACTAATGTAATAAACCAAGTCTGAAGATACTACTGGGCATTTAATGTCAAGAGTATACAAATATTAAATTTAAATGTGATTATAGGCTTATCAATAACCGATTAGGAAGAAAAATTTAATTTTTGTTTTACAGGCCTCATTCCTGGATCCAGAGTCAGACATGAGTGACTAGTCCTTACATAGAAATAATTAACTAAGCCCCTGCCTTCGATGTTCCTAGTCCATCAATTAAGTAAAACACTAACAACAAACAAAACAAAAAGGAAAGAAAGTCCCACTAACTGGTACCCAGGGGACTTAATTTTCTTGGTTTTGTTCACGATTTCATTGGAACACCTGTGCCCAGCAAGTGTGACAAGAGGCTCTTTGGCTGGATCACGTGGACAGTATCTCTGATTCTAGAACTTTAGCTCCTGGAGAGAGAGGCACAGCCCCTATGCTGTCCGTTTTACTAAGTCTACCTTCAATGTAAGCGTGTTCTAACTAACGCTTCCTCTTTCTCTATTTGCTCTGTATGCTCAGAATGCAGCTTATCAGAACCATGAAAGTTTAGTAGAAGTGGAAGTGCTAATATTTTCGAGGGCACAAGGCCTGTGTTGAACTCTGGAATCAATTCCGGACAGGAGGTCTTTGAGTAAAGTGGAACTGAATTCTGATAAGACTTCAATTATCTTACCGAGTAGCTATGGAAAGACATCATTAAAGGACCCCGATTACAGGTTCTTATGATGGGGAGAAATCACGGAAGAGATAATAAGGTTCTTCATTATCTGCATTCACACAGCTCCTCCAAGTGTATGATTAAATATCTTCCAGATAGTCCTCCTTGCTGTGAGAGCAGTGCACGATATGCAACCAGAGCAGAGAGTTCCAGCATCCTAAATAATCTCAGATATCTTATCCTTGCAACAGAGTCTGCATTCTGAGCCCTTGCACTATAGAAAATGATTAAAAATACGAAATTGGAGTCTTGTTACTCACCCAGGAAAGCAAACATTAATAGAAAAAAAAAAAAAGAAGAAGATGGACATATCCAAGAAGCAAAATGGCTTCCTAGAGCAAAGTGAGTCTGAATCTGACTGCGCACATCAGCAATGGTAAATAGGTCCCCGAATCTAATTATAATTAAGCTCAAATGTTTTTCAATAAATTAAGTTCAATAACTTTTCCTGAGTAGACCAAGGGTGCTTACAAAGATTGCTTCATCACATCTTCAGGAGTCTTATGGAAAGGTAGTGCCATCATTTCCATTATATAGATGAGAAAAACCGAGGCTCAGAAGGATCAAGTAACTTGCCCAAGACGGAAAGCTTTGACCGAACCCATTTCATGTTCTCTGCATACTGTTACACAGTTTCTCAGTATTGTAAGACTTTGGCTGACAAAGCATGAAAATAAACAGCTGGAGAAGGCTTCCACAAAAGTATTGTTAGAATAGCAACAGTCAGAGTCACAGTTAAAAAGGATCAAACAGGACTATAAAAAAGTAACTGCTCCGTGTATGAAGACGGCTACGACTCTACAGGGTTTGCTGATGTTGCTGCTAAAACTTGCAGCAATAAAAATGATTTCACAATGGTGGCCTGAGTCATTAGAAAGTGCAGCCCACTTAAAAGAGGTCAGACTTATAAGAGGCCTTTCTCTTTTCAACCAAGATTTCCAAGGGTGGTCCTTGAACTGAATGAACTAAGAGGTGAGATTTTTGCAGAGTGGACTTTATCTTATGTGGACGGTGCTGCTTCCAGAACAACAGGGAATTTACAGTCTGAATAACTAAATACAATCAGTATTCCCCAAATCACAGGACCAGGAGGACATGTGACTCATGGCTCTGTGTCCAGTGCTAAGAAGGAAGCTACCTTTCTCCTCTATCTCTGCTCTCACTTCCAAAGTCAGCAGCTAGGCAAGTAACCTTAAAATGGTTTCTTTTCTTTTTTTCTCCCAGGTCTATTAGCTGATGACATTACAATGATATTACATGTGTTTAAGTTGCTCCTGGAGAGAAAACAAAATAAAATCGAACCTAAAAGATGCAATACAACATTATATGATTATATAAAGTTTCAGTCGTGGAAAACTGAGCTCTGGGCTACACACCCCTGTGTTTCAATAAGCTAAATTTTTCAGAATATTGTTACCAACTGTGCTGGCTAGTTTTATGTCAACTTGATACAAGCTCAAGTGACTGAAGAGGAGGGGACCTCAATTAAGGAACTGCCTCCATAAGACTGGGCTGTAGGCAAGCCTGTGGGGCATTTTCTTACTTAGTGATTGATAGGGGAGGGCCTAGCCCATTGTGGGTGGGGCCATCCTGAGCTGGTGATCCTGGGGTTCCATAAGAAAGCAGGCTGAGTGAGCCTTGGGGAGCAAGCCAGTAGCAGCATGGCCTTTGCATGGGCTCCTCCTGCTTCCATGTTCCTGCCCTGACTTCCTTCAGTGTTGGAAATAAAAGCTGAAATAAACCCTTTTCTCCCCAAGTTGCTTTTAGTCATGTTGTTTGTCATGGCAAGAGTAATCCTAATTAAGACACCAACTAAGGCAGAAATGACAATAACTTTGAACTCCAGGGAGAAGCAAATTTCTGAGTCCCAGTACCTTCTTCCTAAGGTTGGAATGCCTTGGCAGAGGGGCCAACCATGACTATTTCAAAGGTTTGCAAAAGGTACTGCTTTTTCCATGAATATGTTCTGCAGATAGATCAAAACCAGAAAGAGATAGAAAAAAATTACTTTGGACAGGAAATAGGTTTCTTATTCATCAAACTATAGTATCAGAAGGTAACTTAGTAGATTAAGGAACCATGTAAAATACTGATAAATGTGGCTTATTTTCTAAGCTATGCTACTCAAAAATAGCTTTGTTTTTTTAAAAACAGAAAACCATTTATACTTCAAGGTAATCGATAGCAAAGAGTTTCTCTACATCATAGACAACTGGGGGGTTGGGGAGGTAAAAATGACTCTGTAGAGATATTTAGTCCAGAAGTTTGGAAGACCACTGACAAATTCAGCCATCTGCTAAGTCTTCCCCAAAGTCCTTGGACTTCAAATGCAGAAGGAGACTGCAACAGGAGCTAGGACTTCGCATACACCACAGAGAATATATTGTTTCTACATACAAGCGTGAAAACCACAGGCCAGAAAACCTTTCTGGCAGACCTCAAATTGAAAGGCAGCATTCTCCCCACACAACTTTCTGACCTCATATGATGCTAACTATATAGGGAAAAAAGACACAGGATGACAATTTACGTATGTACACATCTTTTGAAGTTCAAAGAACTGATGGCGACATTTATATGGAGCGACTGGTATATGGTCAAAGATAGAGCAGATGAAGACCCAAGGTGAGGACTTACAATGTAGCAGGGCTCACAGTAGGCCTTCTTCTCCACGGCATAGAAAGGCTGTCCTCGGAGCTTGTTGTTACAGACGATGCAGGTGAAGCAGTCCACGTGGAAGACCTGATCCATGGCGGTGCATCCTGTCCCTTCTCCAACCACGTTCTCCCCACAGCGAGCACAGCGGCCTGGAAGAAAAAGGGTTGCTTGTTACAAAGGAACTCTGAGATCCTCCCATGGAAGCCAAGGTGAGAGAGACAGCAGGTTCAAACTGCAGCCGCTGGAGACACAGCACTATTGGCATCACTACACTAACTAGCAAGCTCACCATGGTCTCCACTGCCATCACTATACTAACTAGCAAGCTCACCATGGTCTCCACTGCCATCACTACACTAACTAGCAAGCTCACCATGGTCTCCTCTGGAATAGCAGGAGTCTACCTGAGTCAACTGGGCAGACAGCTAAGGCTCCTGAGAGAGTGATGGAGGAAAACACGTTTGATGCTGAGTCCAGGGCCCTGCCTCTAATCACATACATGTAAGCGCAGGATTCAGGATGTTGGGGCTGAAAGGGCAATCTACTGAACAGAACACGTCTGGCAAGCCTTTGTCCCTGGAGAGTCTGCACATCGGTCAGCGTGTGCGTGTCATTTCTTTTTCTAGTCCTGGTTGTCAATCCTCTGTAGTGGGCAGATCACGTGGTGGTAGGTACGCACCTCTATTTCGGGAGCACAGGGGCTGTTAGAAGGTTTTCTTCTGTGGAGTCACTAATGTAGCCCCGACTCTGACTGCTGCCCATGATCCTAGTTCTGATCTCAGGGGCTCAGGAAGCGAGGCTCATCTCATGCACGCGTGCACCATCTAAGATCCTGGAGTCCAGTCAGCACCATCTCTCAGTCTTAGCTTGAACATCATGTAATGGTTCCACTTAATATAGGGTTGGGAGTTTCTTAGGCCCTAGATCTCACTGTCTGCCCAGTGTTCTGTAAAGCTACAGCATTCTTAAACTGCTTGAGAAAGCTGACACACCTGTATGTCCATCAGGTTATATTTTAAAGAACATATTTGCATTTAAACAGTCATAGAATATAATCTAGGATAAAATTTTTAGGACTAGGTGTAGTTCAGTGATAGAGCATTTGCTTAGTATATACTAGGATCATGAATTCAAACTACAGGACCAGAAAGAAGAAAAATTAATAAAGAAGCGGGGTGGATGAGGTTAGCTTGAGTGAGAGGCTCTCTATCTCAATACCCTGGGATTGCGAGGGCCACAGCCACCTTGACCCCTTCATTCATGTCTACTAGGCAGAAACAAGACCCAACTAGGTAACCATAAGCAACTGGGAACATCAACAAGGCTTTTGTGTAGGTTTTTGCACAAAAATGTCATAGACCTAGCTTCGTGGATGGCTGACATTTTCTTGACGCTCTTCTATCAGCTCATTTCCTACTCATGACACTCTATGTGGACATATTACTATTATTCTTACTCTAAAGATGAGGAAAGTTAAGTCACAGAAAATATTTAAAAAGCTTCATGCCCAAGCAGCCTTGCTTGCATACTGTCTACTCCAATCCTGTGGCTTCATTGCCCGTTCTGAGCTCTGTATGAACATCAGTGTGGATCTGGCATCACGGAGCATTATGGAATGACTTCGCACTGGAGAAGGCTTTCAGCACCCCGTCACATTGGACTGACAAGCCACTTCACAACTCAGAACTGGGAGGGGTAAATGTTTCAGTAAGAAGAGGTAAATATATTTCTCTCTGGTTGCACTTGGTCCTGGAAATATTCCTTTGTATTCTGTTGCAGGATTGGAGCACATCTTTAAAAAATGAAACAAACAAACTTGAAGTATCATCAATCAAACATTGGGAAGAGTTCAAGTTTTAAAAAATGGACTGCCTCTGATACAGTTGTATTATTGTGAAATTTTAATATTGTGAAATTTTTGTTGTATTTTTTATATTTAATACAATTATGATATTTGTTATATGGTTTGTAGTTGTTTTTAAATAAACTCTTCCATCCAAGAGTTACCTTACACTTATTTTTTAGTATTAGATACAGAATTAGAAATGCTCTTTTAAATTCATGTACCTTTTCTGCTAATACTAAGAAAATTCATTTCTTTCATTTGGTACCATTTTTGTGATTATGCTGAAAACAATAATACCCCTTCTCCAAACCTTACTGGTTTACTATAAGGCTGAGTATGCTCTGTTTGAAAATTATTGATATACATCTGAGAATTTCTTGCTAACAAATGACAGTTGATTGTAGAAAACATATGGAGAGGTGGAGCAAAGAGATCAATCCATGTAAATATTATTACGAACCCACTGAATTCCCATGAGAAGTATAATTTTATAATATAAATTAAATATAAGTATAAATATAATATAAATAACACACTTATTTTTCTATAATAACTTTTCCTTTCTGTAAGTCAAAAGGATCACTTAATAGAATGCTGAGAAGCACATAGGATCTAAGAAGTATACTTTGCCAAAATAAGGATGGGATCATGTGATGGCCGTGGTGGCCGGCTCGGCAGCAGAAGTAGCTGATTGGGTTTTGACCATGAATGTTCAAAATGCAGTTTATGAAGTAAAGAGCCCGAGCTTATAAGGCATCGGCAGAGCTGGACATATCCTGGGTCTGGAACAACTTTAATCACTAGCTTACAGGAAAAGCCTGCTCTAGAAAGGAAAGTTTCAGTTTTGAATCTACTGAGCAGACCCTTCTGCTCTTTGTCCAGTACGACAGTCTGCTTTTGTGTGACATGAAGAAGTGGGCGAGTCACCATCCGTGCTTCTTCCAGTGACTATGAGACCTCATTATGTCCAAACAATCCATGACAACATGTGCGGCATGCTGTAGGAAAAAGTGCTATAGAGATATGCAAGGGAAATCACCTCCAAGATATTCTGTAAGAGGTTCCTGAGGAAATAGGCAATTGAATTTGACCTTAAAGAAGGGGATGTTGACAGGCAGAGGTGGAAGGCAGAAAAACACTGCAGCTTTTTCCGCAGAAAGGATGAATATCTGTGGCTTACTGGAGGCAAAACACTGTAGTGCTTCGTGATGGCACAAGGTTTTGTCTGCTCGCCACAAAGCAGATGGCCTGCATTCCCAGAAACAATTCCCTCTTTATGTCTGGGGAATATTCTTCCAGAGTAGGTCAGGCTAATGTACTGGACCCAGACATGACCAGTTCTGTTCCCCCCTGTATTTTTCCTGTTCTTGGGATAAATTAGGGACACCAGCCTCAAGGGCAGCCAGTCTGGCACCTTACGATTCACAGGCACAGTGAAAAAACAGCAAAGAACAAAAGTTAAAAATAGCTCTACAAACCAGCAACAGAGAAAAGGTGCCCAAATGTTCCCCCTTTACATTAACAAAAATGTACAAACTGTTCCTTGGAGAGGGTATTGAGAATGCAAGGCTAGCGACTCAAGCCGTGGGTATACTTGCTCCTCGTGGGACTTAGGCTATACCTTGTCATACAACCTTGACGCCCATCTTTTAGACAGAAGTCTCAGTGCTTGAAATAGGTAAGGCCAGAGGAATGTGGACAGGCTTCAGGGCATCAGGGCATGAAGGAAGCACACTTGACTAGGCAACCGGAAGCAGGGGCTGTGACCCCCGGCCAGCACACAGGGCTTCTAAGCAATGCTTAGCAAATCAAATGAACATGCCGAAAGTTTTTATATATTATTATTAATGCCTGTGGCCAGCTTCGGGTCCTGTGCACCCTTCTCCTCTTTCCCATGTGCAGCGACTTCCTTAATGTTGATGAAACCAACTATGTAAATCAGGTTTCCTTATCCTGGGACACTACAAGGGCTTCCTCATTGTTCTGAAACCCGTGGTTGTCTTACTACTACAAACAGAAAGGCCTTATGGGAGTCTTAATAATTGGGCTAAACTTGAATGGCCAGACTGGATTTCAAATGGATAACAGACAAGATGTCAGTAGAGAGTGGAAGTCTAGGAAAACCAGCAGGCTGAGCAAGTGCAGGTTATGAGTATTCAGAAGTACTTTCATGCTTGGAGTTTGTGTTTACTTTATAACTTGCAAACAGAATTTTACGTAAAAACACTTTCTTAATAATTACTGCATGCAAAGGACATTTTCCAGTGTGTAAGGACTTTGTGTAAGTTCCTCACACTCTGCCACCCTCCCCTTTCCAGCCCTTATCCCTTCTTGTTAGTCCCTTTGTTATTGGGCTGGCTAGTTTTACGTCAGCTTGACATGGGGCATGGTCTGAGCGGAAGGAACCTTGATTGAGAAAATTCCTTCACTGGATTGTGCTGTGGTGGAGCATTTTCTTAATGAGTGACTGATGACGGAGGGCCCATCCCACTGGGGGTAGTGCTGCCCCTGCGCTGGTGGTCCTGGGTTCTATAACAGAGCAGGTTGAGTAAGCTACAAAGAACAAGCCAGTATGCAGCACCCTTCCATGGTCTCTGCATCAGCTGCTGCCTCCAGGTTCCTGCCCTGCTTCAGTTCCTGTCCTGACGTCCTTCAATGATGAACTCTGATCCAGAAGAGTAAGCAAAATAAACCCTTTCCTTCCCAAGTTGCTTTTGGTCATGAGGTTTTATCAAAGCAATAGTAACGCAAAGACAGCTATCCCAGACAGTTTTATTCCTATTTTGCCTGTGCATATGTATGCATGTGTGTGTGTGTGTGTGTGTGTGTGTGTGTATGTATGTATGTATGTATGCATGTATGTATGTATGTAAAAATCTAGAAACCAAAAGGAAAAAAAAACATGCAATGTCTTTCAGAGAATTAATTAGCTTGATAAAATTATTTCCAGTTGTATTGATTTTCCTAAAAATCATCATTTCATTCTCCTCCTCCTCCTCCTCCTCCTCCTCCTTCTTCTTTTTTAAGTGAAACATGGGCCATAGAGGAATGCTGCTTACTGGCTTGCTCCCCATAGCCTGCTTTTTCATTTTTAAAAACATTAATTAATTTTAAATTTTAATTAAAATATAATTATCCCACTTCCCCATCCCTTCCTGCCTCCAGTCCCTCCCATGCCTACCCCACTCTCAAACTGATATCCTCTTTTTCTCTATTATTGTTTTACACACACACACACACACACATACACACACACACACACACACTCATGTGTGTGCATGTCATCTTGTGTCCATTTTTGTT